AAAGAAACAGTGGTTACCTCATGAATAGTAAAACAGTGATAGATGTAGAAAAAACAATTACGGTTCAGCACTTCTTCTGTTTTTTTTAAGGGGCTGCTATTATAAAGGTCGATGATTGAAATTAATTATTTTAAAAGTGACCATTACCATAAATGTCTGTATTTACTTGCCTTATGTTAAGTCGAGATTATGTTGGTTGACGTTCCAAAAATGGACGTATTGAATTACAGTCTAAGTAATATTAAAAGAAATAATATTCATCTAAAGACAAAAAACGCTTGAGAGTTAAGACATTTTCGAGTTTGTTTGTATCGGTGAACAACCAGTTTATGTATGCAAGAAAATACCAATTTCCTTTCAGATTGTACTAAACTTGTGTAGTTGTGGTTTCGGTCGTTTTTCCTCATAACTCCCATCAGCAAAAAAAAAAACCTTTGTAATATCGCAAAACCCTTTTGATTGATGAGTTTTTTTTTAAAGCGCTTATAGCCTTCGTCGACTGGTTATGCCAATGCTTTAGTATCAATCCTGGTTATAGAGAAATAGAACCAGAATGAATATTGTATGTCGTAGAAAGATAAAAGTTTCGGGCGCAGCAACATTGTAAAGTGTCAAAGTCATTTTTATGCTATTAAAGACCGAATCTGTATATTTCCATAACATATAAGAACAATCCTCACATAAGACCTGTTATCATTTAAGTGATGTTCAATTACAATACCCTGTGTCATACAAGATTCAATTTGTAATAAAGCTTTGATATATTTTGATCTCTTTTAAATTGTGTTAATGTGAAATTGAACACTTTTTGTCAAGCTAAATGTAGTCACAAAAAATTTTAATATATGTGTGCTTGCACATGAGTTTTTTTCTTAACATTTTCCAGTGTATTTGATCGTAATATTTTCAATACTGAAGCATATCCTTTGATGTCCACTAAAACTATTAAAGACTTTTTTTCATGTTTTATTGAGATGATTGGTAGCTGTTTTATTGACGTCTATAATATGTCTGTTTGATTTTCGTTTTTTAAATATATCTAAAATGGATGACAAAAATACAACATATATTAAAAACTGCAAATGGTATTCAACATTTGATTTTATTTATAAATAATGCTGATTGTGTCAAATGTGGATTTCGGTACTATCCTGTTAATCGTGTGTATTTTTTAGACGGCCTTCTTCTACACATCATGTAACAATTTACAGTTGCACAGTATTTGTTGTTTGGACAATCTCCATCAGCAAGACAGTCTTTTTTACAACCAACTTTTCCACTTACTACTGACTGGGAAACGATCCCTGAACCACAAGTACGTACTGATCCACTACGTCTTAACAAAACTTTGTCTAATACATAGAGTCCACTTCTTCTAAGGTTGGTTGCGTCAAGAATATAAGAACATGCATGACTATACATTCCACGGCTTCTACCTATAGTTTCCGAATGAGATTTGCTAGATAGGTCGACATTTCTAGCCAGACCAGACGAAACAATTATCCTGCCAGAGGATAACTGACCATCAATACTTGAAACTCTGGTCAAACCAGATGATAAACTTCTAATTATTTCCCTTCTTGTAGAGTACGACAATCCAGATGCACCAATTATACTTCAAGAAGAAATTTCGACGCAGTAGCTGCTACATCCATTGTTAATACATTTATGTCCTGAACGACATAATTTATCTCCTCCACACCCATAATGACAGTCAGATAAAGAACGTGAAATACCAGCTGATGAGTCTCTAATGATTTCAGATACCAATGTCCTGCTTCCAACAAAACCCCCAGACAATCTCGTACTGCCGGATGACCCATGTGTTATACATTCATTGCCTATTTCATCCGATGTTCCAAATGCTCTTGATCCTGCTCGTCTATATGCATCAATAACATCTAGTACAGAAAGGGATCCGACACCACGACGCCCGTTTATATCTCTCCCAACTGTGTTTTCAACCTGTTGAATATTCTTTACTCTATGTATGTCTTTTGGATGCTTTTCCGTTGGTGAGTAGGCTGTAAGATTAAATATCGAACCATTTTACAATTTTCACAAATCAAGCAATACAAAATACAATACAGGTGAACCACTATCTGCATATAAATATCAGGATTTGTAGTTATTGCCAATTAGACAACGATTCACCTTACAACAAAGGATTGCGTAAACCATTGCAGGGACCTTACGGTTTCAGTCCAAACCAAAGGACATACGGCATAGTAAGCTATAAATGCACCTGTCCTAATGGAGGAACCTGGTGTTTAGTGGTTGTCGTTTGTTGGTGCGGTTCATAAGTGTTTCTCGTTTTTTATATAGATAAGACCGTTGGTTTTTCTGTTTGAATGGTTTTACATTAGTTATTTTGGGGGCCCTTTATAGCTTGCTGTTCGATGTGAGCGAAGGCTTCGTGTTGAGGGCCGTACTTTGACCTATAATGGTTTACTTTTACAAATTGTGACTTGGATGGAGAGTTATCTCGTTGGCACTCGCACCACATCTTCTTATATCTATTGGTTGTTTTGTTTATATCTATTTCATTGTTTGACTCGTCTTTGATACTTTTTGAAGTAGTTTTACTTGTCATCTATCGTATTTTTACGTTTGATTTGCCATGGATTTTAACTTTTTTTCAAAAAAGTCATTTTTGGCACAATTGCAGTGCAGACCGTGGTTACATTATGAAAGTTTAACAGTGATCAATGTAGACAGCAAAAACGGTTAAAAACATCAATTTGTTATTTTGTAAGTGAGTGCTAAGCGAAAGAGGGACGAAAGATACCAGAGAGAGAGTCAAACTCATAGATCGAAAACAAACTGACAACGCCATGGCCAAAATTAAAAAGGCAACCAGACAAATAATAGTACAGATGACACAACATAGAAAACTAAAGACTAAGCAACACGAACCCCACCAAAAACTGGGGGTAATCTCAGGTGCTCCGGAAGGGTAAGCAGATCCTGCTCCACATGTGGCACCCGTCGTGTGTCATGTTTCAAATTTATTTTTTAAAAGTGACCATTACCATTATTTCCGCCTTTCCCAACTAACAAAGAGTGGGCAATGTGTTGGCTTTCAGATAATTCACGAACTGAAAGTACATTCTACGTCATTTCAAGGAGAATATCATTCACCTAAGGACAACGATGAAAGAATGAGTGTTAAGACCTTTTCGAGTTTGTTGGTATTGATTGGCCACGAATTTTAGTATGCAAAATACAAATTTCATTTCCGTTTGTTTAAAATATCTATTGTTGTTCTCCGTCATTACCCCAATTGTACAAAATTTCTTTTTTTTTTTTTTATATCCATAACACTGTTTGATGATTGAATCTAATTTCATGTTCTACAGCGAAACAGAACCCGAAAAGTCTCCTTTACCATATAAATATATAAGCACAGATAAACTGTGAAGTGTTATTTTTATTGTCATGCTATAAAAGACTAGCTGTATGTTTGCTTACAAATGTAATAATGAATACTCCATAAAAAAGGTTTTCGGGTGAGGTAAGGTATGTAGTTATCAAATATGGAACCTCGAAGAGGGCTTCTGGAACCCTTTTACCTGTCTATCAAATATAAAAATAAGAAGATGTGGCACAATTGCCAATGAGACAACTCTCCATCAGAGACGTTATGATGTAGAAGTTGACAACTATAGGTCACCGAAAGACCTTCAATAATGGTCAAAACCAATACCGCATAGTAAGCTATAAATACTTCATATATCTTTAAATAGTAAGGACCGACCATAAAAGTGTACATACATCAATTTACAAATAACATAATATTTCCTGAGGTAAACTATTTTTGCAATTAAAATATATCCTTAAACTTCTTTCTATGACATTATTCTGGTTTCATGTATACCTATTTTTATAAAGAAAGATTATTTGGCTAATGTCTTTGGCTGATTCTGAGTTTTTAATGGGAATCTTTAGTTGCCCGATTTGCCTAGCTTTCATCACGTTTCCAGAATAAAAACTTTTAGTAGCTAATTCAGAATGCAAATCAATGTACAACTTGTCAAGGTATTATGTTTTCTTGGGCGTAAGTGTTTATATAGGCTTTGTTTTACATTTTTCTTACAGTTTATGTTATGATTGTTTTATCACCAAACTTTTTTCAATTGCTGTATTATTTTTATTATCTGTACTTATATCTTTGCGTTGTGTTACATTTTCTGAGTAGGATTGCTTTGACGCCTAAATCATCAATATTTTGTATTGTAGAACGGAAAAGTTATACAATTACATAAATTGAATGCAACATTTTATTTTATAAAAAAAATAGAATAGTGTTGAAAGTCTGGATTTCGGTGATATACTGTTCATCGTGTGTATCCTTGAGATGGCCTTCTTCGACAAATCATGTGACAATTAACAGTTGCACAGTATTTGTTGGTTGGACAATCTCCATCAGCAAAACACTCTTTTTTGCAACCAATTGCTCCAGTTACTACTGACTGAGAAACGACCCCTGAACCAGAAGTACGTACTGATCCACCACGTCTTAAAGAAACTGTGTCTAATACATCAAGTCCACTTCGTCTAAGGTTGGTTGCGTCAAGAATATCAGAACCGGCATGACCAGACATTCCTCGACTTCTACCTATTGTTTCCAAATGAGCATTGCTAGATAGTTCCAAATCCCTAGCCAGACCAGATGAACCAATTCTCCTGCCAGAGGATAAATGACCATCATTACTTGAAACTCTGGTCAAACCAGATGATAAACTTCTAATTATTTCCCTCCTCATAGAGTCAGACAATCCAGATGCACCAATTATACTTCCAGAAGAAATTTCGACGCAGTAGCTGCTACATCCATTGTGAATACATTTATGTCCTGAACGACACAATTTATCTCCTCCACACCCATAATGACAGTTTCTGATACTGTCATCGTCAGATAAAGCACGTGACATACCAGCGGAGGAGCCTCTAATTATTTCAGTTACAGATGTCCTGCTTCCAACAGAACCACCAGACAATCTTCTACTGTCGGATAACCCACGTGTTATAAATTCGTTTCCTATTCCACGAGATGTTCCAACTGCTCCTGATCCTGCTCGTCTATTTGCATCAATAACATCTAGTACTGAAAGAGATCCGCTACCACGACGCCCGTTTATAGCTCTTCCAGATGTGTTTTCGACCTGTAAAATCTTCTTCACTCCATGAATGTCTAATGCATGCTTTTCTGTTGGTGAGTAGGCTGTAAGATTAAACATAGAATAATTTTAACAATCTTTGCAGTACAAGTAATACAAAATACAATACAGGTGAACTACTATCTTTATATCATTTTACTTTTACATTGTAATTCACAAAAAATATGTAAATGTTGGTAATAATATTTTTTATGTACTTTAGTTATATATATTTTTTTAAATTTTCTGCAGTAAGGTATTTATCTCAACATTGAAAATACTTTCGTTAAAACAGCCTATAAGTCTCGAAAAAAAAGTAACATTTTCTTACCGGCTACTATCATTGTGGTCACTGCCATCGATAAGAAAATGGTCTGGAATCTCATCATCTCTAAGAATTCTGAAATCAACAGGATAAACGTTGTTTCTCAGAAAATCATAATTGACACATTAAATACGAAACAGTTAACACAATCTTTATATTCATATTTACATGTTTTACTATACACCTGCTAGAAACAATCTGCAGCGATATTTATACATGTTGTGGGTATACAAAAATGACAGAATATCTTTATTCGAAGCCGAATTGTAGGATTTATTGTGCTTGCTTTCGAGCTACAAATTGTTCAAAATTGAAATATTGTGTAAGGTTATATCTGGAAAAGCAGTTGTTATGTTAATTACAAAAACCTCACTATCGTTAAAACTTTGAAATTTAGTGATTGAAAACAGCTTTTCTAAAATTTATTCTGAAAATAGAAGACTCAATAGAAAAAGATGGAAGGGGGCCTATATTTCGACTTTTATTGTTTTTAAACGGATATTTTTGAAATTTAAAACCGAAACAACCAACTCAATGTGGACATTATGGCCTAAATATTTACAAGTCAGATGCTCGATTCGACAATTAATTGATCTTCTGTGATTGTCAAGCCAAACATATTTGAAAATCCACGATTTAATTCCGGCAATGATGAGCTGATCATACAAAAGAAAATAGAGTATAACAACTTCTAGACAAGGAATTGGAGCAATTAATTATGAAATTTAAGGTTTAATTATTATACAACATGAGATTGGGTTGACATTAAAAATTCGAAAAATATGATAGTTTTACGAGTTAACAAATTAAAAAAGAAAAAGGAATGAAGCAAAATATAGATCTCGAACTTCTATCACTTAAAAATTGATTTTCAATATCTCAAAAAATTAATTTAGTCGGTTTTTCATTTTCGATAGATTTTAAAAGGCAGTTTTTTTGTTATAATACCTTTTTCTTACTATTCTATTACAGAAATATAAACAATGCACAACTTTCACTATACTATTCTTTATAAAAGTAGATTGAATTGTTTCATTCTGCCAAGGAAGCAAATGCTTCTTTAGAAGTATTGAATTATCCTTACGCTTTAAACTTTATAAAATCTAATTCTATAACGATTTATTTCCTTCTTTCTTTGTCACTATTGCATTATTGTTTTATTTATATATCATATTTATTCATAATTAATTGTTACCTATAAGCCTTACCTTTCTTTGAAGTTATTCGAAGGATTTCTTGTGAATACTGTTTCACTGCTTCAAAATCGTTCTCTTATACCGTATCAATTTTTTGTTTATGATTGACATGCACACAAGGAAATTTGTAACTGAACCGAAAATGATGAATTCGCTTATTATAGTTAAAAACTTTAAATGTCACGACGATGTCGTAGTACTACGAAATTGCGGATTATGCATATATCAGGATATTTTTACTCAGGTTCAATAACACATTTTGCTTCCTCCTACAACAGACATATTTTTCATGACATCATAAACTTTAATGTTACCATGTCTTATTTCTATGATATTGTGGATTATGTTTACTTTTTAAAATGTACTAAAGGTGAAAAATTGTCCTACAACAGACATATTTGTCATTATGTCATAATACATGTAGTTATTACGAAATATCGTTTTGACGTTTTAACAATCTGGTTAAATACGCACGTTATTAATTTCGTTGTAATCAGAGACTTGTACTGTTGTAATGATAACTAACCGAAAGCCTTTTATTTCCTCATGGTATGGACGTTATTGTTTATTAATTGATTTGCTTGAAACCCATTGCTTGATATTCTATTCAACTGCTGTTAGAAACACAGCGATTATTTAGACTCATTGCGTTTCTTATTATACCACGCTTGAGCTTACGCTAAGAAAAAGGTCGGGAACCATTCTCAGTTAACACCAAACCATTGAACAATAAGATAATTCTCGGTTTTCATGTATCTTTAAGATCTTCTCTTCATGCTCCTTCAATGTACTTTATAATCATTATCATAAAACTCAAATTGAAAAGGATTTGGCATCACTTTAGTCGATCTAAAGAACGAACCATTCAAACTATTTTCTTTAATTTACGTCTACATATGTATCAACCCTAAAATTTGTTTTACAGTGTTGGATGGGAGAACACTTCATTTCATTTTTTCATTAACAGAGGTGGAAGATACTGAATGGATATTCAAACTCAAACGTCAAAGATAAACTGACAACAAAAATATAAACAGCAGTCTACAAAACATTACATAAAAATTTAAAGACCGAGCTTCACATAAAACCTTGGTGATCTCATGTGTTCCGGAAGGAAGATCCTGCTCCACATGTGGTATCCGTCATGTTGCTTATCGTGAGTATAAATTGTTGGGCAGGCCTAAATCGGGGATTTCGAGGAAAAGAAGAAGGGAATGTTGTTACGACAATTGGTACACATCTGTAGTCATCTGGGAAACAGATAGAAATAATAATTTATTCAAAACGAATAGTAAAAACAGTTTCTTTAATTATATTAAACGTTGTTGGATTTTTTTTTAATTTTTTTAAAATCAGTCACCATCAGTTATAGGAAATTAAAATTGTTTTGAACGTGGAAACAATTAAAGAAAAAAATATACTTCAAATAAAAAAAAAAAAAAATGAAATAACACTATCAACTTTTTTGCGTCCGAAGCGTTTTTATGGATTAACCTCATTCAGGATCGCGAAAAACCAAAAGCAAAAATTTGAAAGCCGGTTGGATAAATTCCAAACCTAGCTTATGAAGAGCTATACAACCAAATGGATTCAAAAGTGATAGCCTGATCCTTCTAAGGTAAACTTTACGTGAAGAGTTGGAACCTTAGTTTCTTCATTATTTTGAATGTATCAACGGAGAATTTAAGAAAGATTTGTTATAAATCATGTCAGTACCGAATTTCTATAAAACTGATACTACCCTCTCGGACTAATAGTACATCAGATGTGGTATTGACCCAATGCTTGCAAAATGAAAATAACACTATCAATTTTTTTAGTCCAAAGCGCTTTTCTAGATGTCATATGTTCTATATAAACTCAGATTTCAAATAACAAATATCTATAACACTGTTCATGTATCTCTCTATATAGCAACGATGGTAAAAAGACTTTAGACCTGGCTTGATTAATATATTTTGTACTTCAAATTACTGTATTAAACATCTTCCTTTTCAGGCAATGGTCTTATTTGCATTGATTAGAAAAGAGGTTCAGAATTACAAGGATTGCATACACAAAACTTTGGCATAAAAGATTTAGTTAATCCCCCTTTTCAATGTTTCTTTAAAAGAAATTTCAAATCCATATGTATATAAACGTAGGTAAAACAATGAAATCAGTTAATTGTTTTATTTCAATTCTTTGAAGTGTTATTAGAAAACAAAGTATAGGATTGACCTCTTGAAGACTGATATATTTTTTCTCATTTCGGCTGTTTTATATGATAAATATTTTCAGCGTTTTCAAAATAATTAACCTCTCCCTATTTTAATATGCCTTTACCATTCACATGGGAGCCATTTTCTCTTCTTGTACAGTTGTTTCTTAAGCCATTTACGCCAGACTCCATACAGTACGTAGTTTAGCAAGAAAATAGAAAGAACCCAAAGATATCATTTATTTTTACAAATCGCTGTATAAGTGATAACCTCTCGCTCAATAATTGATTTCATAATTTTCTGAACTGTTTTTTGTGCTTTCTTCAATTTTTATTTTTTTTGCCATGATTTTGTTGGTTTTTCTTTTCGACTCATGAAATTTTGGTTTCCACTTTGGTATCTTCTGCATTTGCATCTTTTTGATTACTTCACACTGGGAACTGATTACTTGGAAAAGTTACTTGAAAGATTGTGTATGATTATGTCAGCAATAACGCGCATCTTACCAACTTCTACGGCTAACACAATATGCTGCACAGATAGTTTGATACTACTCAGTAAAAGGTAGATAACAGGAGGAGAACTCAAATTATTTTTTTTTTAAATCTGAATTCCCATCAGCATAATTCAAGAAAAAAATATGAAATGAAGCAAACTTCCTTTTCACTAGTATATAATTTTTCAGGTGATATATGAGATATGAATATTCACTTAAATATAAAAGAAAATGCCCAGGATTTGACATAAAAATCCGCAGATTTTGTTATATGTATTTTTTTCTCTTTGTGAATATATATGTCTTATATACTAATATACATACTTATATACTTTACATGAGGGCAAGAACAAAGTGGCAACAGTTTCAGTTTCTTACTGGCCAATATAATTCTTTTATCATATTTTGATATGCATATATTTTTTTCATTTTGAATGTTTCTATGTCAACTGAGTTTGAAAAAGATGAAATATTTCAGTATAATATTATTTGAAATTCTTTGATTTTTTTTTATCGTTGAAATATGTCATTTGTTCCCCTGGACAAATGCAGAATGTAATAAAACAGGGCTCCATAAGTCTGCTTACCTAGGCTGCTTAGGGATATTGTATAACATAGGAAATTTGAATAAAGCAATTTATCAATTTAAAAAAACCAATGTTTTGATTGGAATGAATATTAACTTCAGATATATGTTACAGATTTTATTTAAATGCCATGTTATGTATGGAGGAGATGTCACACATATTTATATTTACTATTGTACAATGATATCTTAAGTCATATCAAAAGATTCATACTACAATTAGATATGTCATGTTACCACTCTTAACTTAAGTCATTTGATGGGTTTTCTGGAATAGAAGACTGTTTCCCTAATTTTCCGGCTATTCATAATTCTTGTGCATTCTTATTATTATCTCAAAATGCTTTTGTTCCCGTCCAAAACATTTATTAAATACATGACGTCAAATCGTTTTCTGATGTTCAACCATGCTCAATAAATTTTGGTAGGTAAAACAACGACAGAAAACGCAGATCGTTATATATCTCAATCGAATGATAAGCGAGACAATTTTTCCAGTTTCATGTATTTTTGATTGCAAAACTTCGTCTGAAAGTTTCACATAGAAAATATTTAATCACATGTACTATTTGTATTCATTATTTAAATTATATCCT